CATCATTGGCTAGGTACATCTTCTGTTAGAGGCAGTTTTTAATCTATTGTTTATTTTTCTGCCAGTTGTCATAACCCTTGTGCTGCTTCTTTGCTATGCACTTATCTGGTAGGGCAAGAGGCCTGCTCATTCTGTCCTTGAGTGAATCAGTGAAAAGGTGTCACTCTTGCTTTGCTGGCTTGAAAGGCATATTTTGTTTAGTCTTATGTGGGGGGAAAGAAGATGGACTGTTCCCCACATCCTGTCACTGGGAACTACTGAAAAGAGTCTGGCTCCATCCTTCTTGCACCCATCCTTTAGATACTTACAGGCATTAATAAGGTCTCTCCTCAGCCTTCTCTTCTCCAGGCTAAAGAGTCTCAGCTCTCTCAGCCTTTTCTCATAAGGGAGAATCTCCAATTCCCCAATCATCTTTGTTGCCCTCCACTGGACTCTCTCTAGTAGTTCATTGTCTCTTGTGAACTGGGGAGCCCAGAACTGGACACAGTGTTCCAGATACGGCCTCACTAGGGCAGAGTAAAAGGGGGGAATGATTTCTCTTTACTTATGGCCACACTCTTCCTTATGTAACCCAGGATTCCATGGCCTTCTTGGTGACAAGGGCACATTGATGGATTCAAGCTTATGTAGGACCTGGGCAAGGAGGGAGCCAAGCAAAATGCTGTTTATTTTGTGCATGGCTGAGCAGAAGTAAATGGATATCAGTGGTGTTATTCCTGTGATCATCTTAAGGGACTTTAAATAAGTGCCTGATTTAGAAAGCAGATTCCCTATAATATCAAAAGAAAATTTCTCCTCCAGCATGTGAGTCAAATAAAAGCCTAACTTAGATGTTCTGGATTCTCTGTGGATAAACCAGTCTCTCTCTCCTGAGTCTGGTTTTCTAACCCGAGTACCTAATTAAGATTCGTACAGCAAATAACAAAACAGTTGTCATCCTTGAGCCCAGACTTCTGAAAATAACTGAAGAACCTGGTGTGATTTCTTTGTTTTTCCCAAGGACTAGCTTTATCTCAGCCCAAGTGTTTTGAAGGGGCTTTTAGCTCAAAAGATTTAAGAGCAGGGTGTTTTTTTAGGAGAGGGAAATGCTGAGCCCATGCTCTCAGAGGAGGCTGTGAGCTGTACAGGAAAGATGCTGTTGCCACAGCTGTAAACTACCTGCAAGTGTGGGGCTGAAACACCACTCCAAGGCATGTCCTTTCGGAGAAAGGAAGCTGAAAACAGTTGAAAATTTGAAAGTGTGCTGATGGAAAATGGGAAGACTAGCAACCCATTTGTGTCTGCAGTGAAGTAATACTGTAAGTGTGGATTATTCAGCTTTTTAGAGAACATCTGACCTTGACTTCAGCAGCCCAAATACCATAAACAACAGGAGATGATTTTGGTCATAGTGTCTCTTCATAGTGTCTCTTCATTATGCAGTCCTGTGTTTGGCTGAGTACATATTTGTACTCTCCTATGAATTTCTAAATACTGCTGCCATCCCACTAATGCAGATGGTTTAGAAGTGCCATGATAGTGCCAGTGTCATTTCTGCTAGTGTCACTAACCAGATGAAAGGTGATTAATGTGCTTTACCTTTGTGAACTGTGACCACGATACATGACTTGGTCATTTTAAGTGGGATGATTTAGGCACAGCCAACAATAGCACAAACCAAAAAAAGAAGTTCATGTACAGTTCTGCTGCATTAGATACTGTTTATAAGCTGCTATTTCAATAGTATATTAAGCGGCTTTTCTGTTTCCAAGATCAGAAAAGTTAAAATACTTCCATACAAGTAAAATAGTAACACAGAGCAAGATCTGTATCACAAATTTTGCTCTAGAAAGTGTAAGTTTTAATTATATGGCTACAGTACAAAAATAAACCAAATTACAGCTTTACTTTTCAACTGGTTGGTTTCATCATGTTTCCTAATATTGAGGGATTCATTCAGTGTGCCTGCTGACTCATTCACGTATTAATGGAAAAGTCTCAGCATTTATCCTTCATTAATTTTTAAGAGCCTCTCTCATTAATTTGTACTTCAACTACATTAAAACATGTTGTACTTTAGAGTAATCCTTTGTTTTGTACAGGCACTGGTGTTTCTAATATTTTGAAATTTCTACTTTTTAAAAAAAATAGAAAATTAATTACAACAATTATTTTGATTAAAGTTCACTGCAACAGAGTGTAGTTTGTTATTAGTGAACTTTTAAAGCTGTCAGTGGCCTGGCAACTTTTCTGGAATTAGCAGTAAAGCTCATTCCTATTGGTCCTTAGGCTAAATTTTGCTTCTCTTTTTGTTTGTGTTCATTACACATTTTAATGAAAAATAGAGGCCAGAAGTTATTCATTACATCTCAGAAATGCATAGGAGGAAACAGCATTTGATGGTCTTTTGTCCTAATAGCAAGAATCTATTTAAGTATGACTTGATCTGAGAAGACAAGTATTTTTCTGTTCCATTTACAAATTTTTCAGCTACCTTAGAACCATCTAGATTTTTCTTGCTGTAAGTGTCAAACATGGTGACATTTCCTTTCCAGCCTTTGGCTGAAACCCCTGCAACTCTCTTACTCCTACGTACCTGCACCTTTTTCACTTACTTGTGGAAACCCTGGAGTGCCTCATCTAAGATCTTCACAGTCTTCTGAGCTTTGTCCACCTACCTGTTATTAGTTTGCCTGAAATGGTCTTTGGTGGTTTTTGCATTAAACTTGTAATGTATTTTTTTATAATATTTAGTTTATTTAATTAATTATCTTGTCATTACTCTGCTGACCTGATAATACAGAGATCTCTATTTTCAGTACTAATCAAATTCTTCTATGCCATTTGTGTACAAAATGTAATGTATTTGATTGTAGTATAAAGGTGACAAAGCAGAGAGGTGTACCACTCATCATTGAAAAATACTTACTTGTAGTATGTTGCACAGGGAAGGGATGGCCTATATAACCAAAATTGGACACTTTATATTACAAAAATGCCTGACCTTTAGGATACTAATACTTAGGACAGTTTCAAGCTCTCAAAATAATGATTCATGTCTGTTTGACAACAGGATTTTTTTTTCAGCTCCTCTCATTTTGCTATGGCTTCAGCTCAATTAGCAGCTTTCTTCTTAATCCCATGGTAAACATCTACACATCTTTGACACATATGTATGTGTTATTTTTGGTTCTCTTTGCCTCTCTTGGAAGTGTAAAAATCAGTTTTCCTGGAGGATGTTAATTCAAAACTCCATTCAATTCCTTTCTGAATAAATAACTAACAGGCAGATACAGACTTTTTACATCTTTTGAATTTCTGGAAGGGCTGCCTTTGAGATGCAGTGATGCCAGGTTCTTGACTGCATAATTGTTTTTTCTGTCTCAGGCACCCGCAGTAGCGAGATGCATCATCCATAGAGAAATGTAAAACCTTCTTTGATACAACTATAAAAAGCTTTCATCTCCTTCAAGGGGAACAAAACACACACTAACTCTTGTGACAAGATTTCCTTGCTTGAAGTTGATAACACATAAGTAGAATTTATTTTTTTATTTTTTCCCCTGGTGTCATGGAGAGGAACTAATCCCTGTGATAAGATGATGGTGTTTTCTGTTGTAAACTGTGCTTTGACCATTGCAATTTATCTTCTGCTTTTCTAGGGCTACACTAACATTAGACA